AATTTTTACTCTGCAGGCTGACGAGGAAGTCCATACCCCGTCGAATGATGAAATGGATTTCAACATCGTCAATACGCTTGACACGCCGTCGGATGTGGTATTAATAACACGTAGACCAGACGAGACGATGGTGAGGGAGTATTTGCCAGTCATCCCACCGAAAGCCGTCAAAACTGTGGTAGCATTGAACACCACAAATGCGCACGTTTTCCACGTTTACAGCGGGGACAAAGAAGGGAAACTTAAAGGATTCAATGTGAATCAAACAGTATTCATTGGGGGACGCGTAAGCATTTTTAAATTGAATAAGAAAAGACTGTATGTGCTAGAGAGGGGCCCCGAGATGCGGACGTTACTTGTGCTTGGACCTTTTGTCCCTATATATGTCGGAACGTCCGCATGTTGGCTCACATTTTCCTATGGACTTCATCGGGAACCTTATTGAATTGGTTCTCAAGATTATCAAAAATTTCGAATAAGTTCCAAAAAAATTGAATTACAATTTGTTTCTCAACTCAAAGATGCAGATATTAACAGTATAGAAGAAACCACGCATAAAATCAGATCTTTTGGCAAGAAAAGGAGCTCAAAAAAAGTGAAGAACAAGCTTATATGTTGCTATACTATGCAAAAATGTTGGAAAAAACCTTGAAAGGAGAATAACAAAATTACCCCCTTTTGAATCAACAATTAGAGGAAATTTATCATGAGATTCGTTTTGCAATTTTTGTGAATATGAATTTTTGTTATGCTTTAATTCATGATCAAGAAGAGTGCTGCAGGGAAATGTGTAGAAATCGGGGGGAAATGTGTCGGACAATTTTCACTAAGGATTAGATTGTGCCAAGTACCTTTTTGTGATCATTTAGTACATTTTTCCAAACTTCACGCGTATTGCAGGAATCAAATTCCTTTCTGTTTCAAGCACTGTAACAGCACTAGAATTCCATTCGAAAAGTAAAATTAAAAGCATATTTTGTTGATAATCACGCTCTCTTGAAGTGATGACCGATTTTTGGTGGAAAATTTAGTGAATCTCGAGTATAAGGAGTCCACATACATCGACAGTATATACTTGGTTTTCCAAGTAGGTGGAACCTCAAAAACTACCAGGGATAAGGAAGGGGTTGGTTCTTTTAGTGGTACAGTTCTGTTAAACACTCCGTTGTATTGAGCAATGCTGCTTTGGAAATCTCAGATTTTTGGCACTAATCCAGAAGAATCCTTGTCCTAATGCTGATCTTCCTTGATCATTCTCTTCATGTGGACTTGCTCACTTTGAAAAGTATCTTTTTTATAGCCTTTTCATTGGAATTCCTTTTACTATATAATCATTCCATGGCACTTGCAACCATGGAATCATTTATCATTTGTAAGGAAATTGAATGAAGGGATGTTAATAGCTTTAAAACATTCAAAGAGATTAAATGGCCCACCTCAATTGCTTACAAGTAA